CTAGCAGGAGGAATGAGGAATGAGAAGTGGGCAGAGGCCCCGCCCTGCAGCCCCCTCCCCGACTACCCCAGGTCACCCTGCTGGGCAGGTGGGATATGCTGGTCTCCAGCCAGGTTCACAGCCTCATTTGGGGTCTGGCCTGTTCTTGAAGGGAAGGAAGGGCTAGGCTTCAGTTACTTACCCTCCCTAGGTAGCCCCCCCCAAGGATGGCCACCTGCAGCTTCCCACTTCCAGCTCCCCAGGGCTCCGCTAAGCCGATGGATTTGGGGAGGAGTGGGACACACCCCATGCATCCTTGAGGACCCCCTGCCAGGGGACATGGCACCACTTCTCTCACAGGTCAGTGGACCCTCTCCATCCGTAGGCAGCGCCTTCCCCACTTGCCCTGAATGCAGCTGGACTTGGCAGGTGGACGTGGTCATCTCTCCCAGCACCACCACATCTACTAATTTTATTTTTAAATTTAAAAACCTTGTTGAGGATGGACAATGTGATTGTCCAATTGGCTAATCCTCCACCTGCAAGCATCAACATTCCCTATGGGCACATGTTCATGTCCCAGCTGCTCCACTTCCCATCCAGTCCCATGTTAATGGCCTGGGAAAGCAGTCGAGGACAGCCCAAAGCTTTGGAATCCTGCACCACCTATGTGGGAGACCCGGAAGAAGCTCCTGGCTTCTGGCTTTGGATTAGCTCAGCTCTGGCTGTTGCATCCACTTGGGGAGTGAACCAGCAGATGGAAGATCTTTCTTTCTCTCCTGCTCTCTGTATATCTGCCTTTCCAATAAAAATAAATCTTTTTTAAAAAGTGATACATTTGAAAGGCAGAGTGACACAGAAAAAGTGGAGAAGATCAATTTTCCATCTACTGGCTCACTCCCAGATGGGTGCAATAGCCGGGGCTGGGCCAGGCTGATGCTAGGAGCCAGGAGCTTCTTTTGGGTCTCCCATGTGGTTGCAGAGACCCAAGCACTTAGGCCATCTTTCACTGCTTTGTCCAGGCATGTTAGTGGAGATCCAGATTGGAACTGGGGCTCGAATTGGTGTGCATATGGGATGCTGGAGTCACAGGTGCCAGCCTGACCCACTGTGCCACCATGCTGGCACATGCCCTGTTTCAACTTGTTCCCTGAAGCCTGGCCCTGCCAGCCCCTCTGGAGCCATTCCTCACTGGCCGCCCCCCTTGGCCCTGCACTCTGGGCGCCCCCCCCTTGGCCCTGCACTCTGGGCGCCCCGACTGACCGTCTAAGGGAAATGCGCTTTGGCCCTCCATACCCTGTGTGCCGTGACTCAGCCTCGCTTCCTTCCCTTGTCATGAGTCCCTCCTCTGTGGATGTCCTTGGGTCCCGCCATGGCACTCAGCATGTGGAGCTGTTCCCTCGGGTTCCCACATCAGCCTAACTGCAAGCTGTTCAGGGTGTAGGGTGGTTTGTTGAGTGGACAAACCCGTGATTGTAGCATTCATTGAGCATTAGCTGTGTACCCAACCCTGCAGGGGGTCCCAAAGACAGGTGCACGACCCAGGGTCCCTTGCTTGCCGGGAGGGCCCAGGCCCTTGAAAGCCCTCCGAATAGGCAGGTGCTTCACACCCAGGGCCTGGGGCGCAGGGGCAAGGCTTGGGTACAGGGGTGAGGCTGGGCAGCATAGCCTGGGATGGAATGCAGGGCCTGGGGCACAGGGACAAGGCTGGGGAGTAGAGTGACCTGGGATGCAGGGGTGAGGCTGAGGAGCAAGGGGCTACTGCAGGGCCCTTCCTCACATCTGGGGCCTCCCAGCATCTCTGCAGACCACAGTGGGGCCTGTTTCACAATGGGTGCTCACAAGCTCAGGGAAAATTTTGACCACTGGAAGCCCTGCAGGACAGGGCTGATCCCCAAGGACCTGACACTGCAGGCACAGTGCAGGGCCTGGGGGCCAAGCTGGTCCCACCCCCAGCAAGGGCTCTCCCCCTGACCATCCTCAGCTGCCCTGCCATGCCCATCACTGTCCCAGTGGGCCTTGGGGTAGGAGGGCAAAGCCTGCCTCCCATTGACCCATCCTAAGGAATCCACACCTGCTGCACCCGGACTCCATCATACCCAGGCCCTGGGGGTGTGACATGACTTTGTGAGGCTCCCAGACAAACCTGAGGCCTCGAGGACACAGGAAGCCTCTGACCTAGTCCCTGCAAGCCTGGTGGGCTTCCTGGGGAAGTTTCCCTATCATGCAGCTGGCATTTGTGCTTACCAGACCTGACACGGCCTCTGTACACACCAGGCCTGGCCTGTGCCGGCCCCGGGGTACTCAGAGACAGGAGACAGGCACACACAGCTGGCTCAGACAGGCAGTAGGGTCCTCGATGAGAGCGGTGATGTGCTCTGGTGACCCCGGCTCCGCTTGGGCACATGACACCTGCTCTGGGCACACAGCCCAGATCCTCCTGCAACCTTCTGGGCTGACCAACTCTGCGTGGGTGTGAACACTGCGTGGGTGATGCCCAGAATATGACTGTCCAGTCACAGACTGGGCGGGTGCTACAGGGCCCTGCCTGCCCAGCAGTGTGTGTGGCTTACCCTGGCTGGTGGGCAGCCCAGAGAGGGGGTGGGCACTGGCACCTGTGGACTTGCTGGGCCTCAGCTGCCCACCTGGGAGAGGGGGACACACAGGGACCTCCTCACAGGATGCCAGCTGGGGCCAGGCATGGCTGTGAGGGTTATTAATAATAATCCACGTCTCCTGCTGCCCGGGCAGCTCTTCGGTGCCACCTCCTTCAGTGGGGGGTTGGAGACGGCAGGTGGCAGTGGGAGGCGGATGCTTTAAATATGAGGAGAACAAAAGGAAAGTAGAGCAAGGTGGGGGCTTGGGGCTAGACTCTAACAACCCCCCCCTCCCTTCCCCAGCCTGGGGGGACAGAACTGAGTATAGCAGTTCCCAGCTCCTGGGAAGTGCCCACACCCCCCACCGGGGCCCCATGACCCATAGGGACGACACCCTTCTGCCTGCCTGCAGGGTCGAGCTGGGGGTGGGGGTGCAGGAAGTAGGTCAAGTGCCACCCTGGATTTGCTGGACACCTCAGCCAAGGCCACATTAAATATTCACCAGCAGCTTTGCAGGCCGTTGGCCCCTGGAGACAGGCCCACTTCCCAGGGCTCTTGCCACACCCCCCGTCCACGCCCTGACTCAGGCTGATCCAGAGGTGGGAGTGAGCAGAGGGGGCCCACACTGCTTTACCTCCTAGCTGGCCAGGTGGCCAGGTGCTCCACTGCCCCCCCCCCGCCCGGCAGAGGCAGGCCTCCGTGGCTGGCAAGACCACCAGAAGAGATGCCAGTGGGGTGAGCCGCTGCTGCCCATGAGCAGGGCAATGGCAAGGGCGTGTGGACTGTGGGCCTGTGGTCAATGCTACAGTCTGAGCAGAGGGCATAGGGACGACACGGCTGGAGCATGGGCTGGTAGACGTGGCATGGTCGGGCCATGGGGTCCCAGCTGTCTGTGGAGCAGCAGGTCCAGTTTGGAACTCTGGCTCCAGTTCCTCACTTGTAGCTGGGGACGAATTAGTGGAGGGGTACACAGCACTGGGGTATGGAGGGCCCCCTCCTTTCTGCCTTCACAGCCCAGCTCAGGTCTCCCGCAAATGCCAGGGCCCGGGGCATGCCACCTCCTCCAGGAAGCCTCCTGCCCCTCACATAGTGAACCCAGGATTCCCTGACCCCAGGTTCTCTTTCCTCACAAATTTCATCACCAGGTTGTGCTTTTCTGCTCCTGGACTGGTCCCTGCACCAGCCTGGGAGTCCCCAGCTGTTAGCGCCCCCACCCTGATCCCTTGTCGGCAAGCCTAGCACAGGGAGAAGGCCAGAGTGGCTGGCCCAGGGCTTGGGGAGAGAAGCTGGGTCCCTGGGTCCAAGTCCATGGACAACTGTGGTCCTGCGGCCTGACGCAGCCCAACAATGACCACATCACCTAGAAGTGGCTACCGCCCTCAGGATGTGACAGTGGCAGAAAAAGTCCAGACCCCGGGGACCTTGAGGGCTGCTACCATTCATCCCCATTCCGCAGAAATAACAGCCAAGGGGGGCAGGGCTGGACCTTGGGGCCCCACCCCCTCCTGTCTGCAGGCTCTGCCAGCTTGGCTTCCTGGTAGCCGCGTGCGCAGACACAAGCAGAGAACAGATGCGAAGCGGGCGGCCAATCAGCCGGAGCTATTCCAGGCCGGGTGCCCCCTCTCCACCTCCTGCGCCGCCTCCGCCTGGCTCCCGACTCTCCCATCTGTGCGCCTTGCCCACCTTCCTGGCAGCGCTAATGGGGCCCAGGGTCAAGGAGCTGACCCCTGTGTCCCAGAGACGCGCTTCTCCAGCCTCGTAACCAGGTGGTAAGCCTGGGTGGTATGGCCATGACCTTGCTCTCCCTTCTACCCGTCCCACACGGGACTCAGCACCCAGCACCCAGCACAAGCCTCATCTGCTTGGAGACACCATCCGCTCCCTCCTCGTGACAACTAAGGTTCCTCAGGTGCCTGGGTGGGGGTGGGCACTGTCTCAGGGAACCCCATGGGCACATGGCAGCCAGGCTGCCTCGGCTCCGGCCACACCCAGGGCTTCTGGGTCCGAGGCAGGTGGCAGGGTGTGTGTGTAAGTGTATGTGTGTCCAGATCCCAAGGCCATTTCTGCCTTCTGCCCGTCTGCCCCCCTTGCCTGGGTAAAGCCTGCAGCCTGCTTTGCCCTGCTGGGCTGGAGTCCCCTTCCTATCCCCAGAATGTCCCCTCCTTCCCACCTCTGCCTCTGGTCCCCAGCACATGGCGCCTGGCGGCTGTGGGACACACATTTGTGGAGCTCAGCTTCAGAATTCGTACCCCAGTATTCACGCAGCCCTGGCTATGGCTCCCAGCCCTGACAGGGGTCCTGTGGGAGGGCCGGAGGCCTCCAGGAGCACCACCCCCCAGCCGAAGTCAGCTGCAGACAGCATAGGGCTCCCAGGACGCATCCAGCCCTGGGGACACTGATGGGTCATGAGGCTGCAGCTGGAGGTCTGTTTTTTGGTCATTTTAATTGCAAAAACCAAGACATTTGTATAAATAAGACCGCTGTGTAAAATACGGTTCACCTTCTACTAAAACCCTTCTCCCACACTCAAAAGAAGATAGAAAATCCAGCTGAGACAAATACAAACAAATGCGTGGTCCGAGACGACCAGGAGCTGGCGCACCAGCTCTCCCTGCCGAAGCGGCCTCCTGGCTACAGCACTCCAGACCAGGCGGCTGGGACAGCTGGTGGCCGTTCGGGGACAGCCCTGCACCTTGGGCACCAGGCTCGCCTTTAGGCAGCACACAGGGTCCAGCAGCCTAGGGTTGGGGGGCAGGGTGCCCGAGGAAGGCCTGGAGCCAGGGTGTGCGGCGGGTGGGGTGGGGTGGGGTCACCATATTCGCATAGACAAAAGGAGAAGCTGCCCAGGTCCTTGAGAAGAGAATATCCTATGGCCACTATGGGAAGGGGCAGGGGACCCTTCCCCACGGTGCTGGGAACAGCATAGTGGGGCCCCTTGGGCATAAGGGGAGAGTGGTCCTCAGGCAGGGGGCACTGGCAGGGCCACAGAAGATAAGCACCATCTTCCCCTGTCCCCTACCTTCATCCGGTCACAGTCTCCCCTTCCCCCACAGGGACCGCCACCTGCCACCTGGTCCATGCCTTGGGCCTCAGAGGGGCTGCCAGCCTAGGAGGAGAGCCGCCTGGAGAGTTGTGCACAGGTATGGCTCAGGAAACTGGCGCAAACAAGTCCAGACTCTAACTCTCGCAGGGAACTTGGCAGCGGTGAGGGCTGCCCCACTTCCTGGAGCCACAGCAAGCGGGGGGCGCAGGGGTGGGGCGCCGTCAGGAGCACTTCCACACACACACAGCCAGGGTGCCCCCGAAGTACAGGTAGAGCAGGTTCTTCACCTCGTGTGTGATCTCAAAGCCAAAGCCCTCGCCGATCACCACGTGCCACGAGGAGCCAAACTTCTTGTCCATCGTCTCCTTGATCATTCTGGCCGCGCTCTGCAAGGGACAGGGTGTGCATCAGGGGGTCAGGGGGTGCGGCACTGCCAGCCAGCCCCTGGCACCTCCAGGAAGGGCTTCCTGGTAGGCTGCTTCTTGCCAGGTGACTGCAGACCATGGGCACTGCCTCACCAGGCACATACTGGCCAGGGTGGGCAGCATTCTGCCCTGCACGGGGTTCCCATTACAGTGCCAGGTTGTGCCCAGGACCTGATACGATGGCAGGTACAAGAGGGCTCTGCCAATTGGACAGGGTTCTCTCTACCACTGCTTGGCATGGGCTCAGTGGGTTGTGTCTCCCAGCTATGACATTGCTCTCTTCCCAGATGGCAGGTACCATGCCTCAGTGGCTAAGCTAAGGCCTGGCCCACCCAGGTCCAACATTGGGGTGCTGGGTGCCACCCAGGCTGCTCTGCTGCAGATACAGCTGTGTGCTAATGTGTCTGGGAGGCAGCAGGTGGCAGCCCAGGTACCCCAGTCTCCATCAGTTTTAGAGGAGGCCTGCATGGTACTCGGGGCTCCTGGATTCAGCCTAGCCCAGCACTGGCTGCTTTGAGGCCCTGGGAGTGAGTCTGGGGAGCCTCTGAAACTTCACGTGAACCAGCAGGGCCTTCATCCTCCACTTCCCGCCCATCACTCCAGAAAGAGGGGTCCATGACCACACCCAGATACAGGGCAGGAGGCTGGGCTCCCCAGGGGCATGGAGCTAGCAAGAGCTGGAGGTTGGGTTTGGCCTTGGATCTGGTTGGCGTGAAGCCAGGGCTCTCATGGACTAAGTTCTGCCTCCCCAGGGCTGCCGGCCACATGCCGACCTCTTTGGCCCTCACTGCCATGCTGAATAGGGGCATCCCCAGGCCAGGGACTCCTGGCTTTGTCACCGGTACCTAATGCAGGGATGGCGCCATGTCTCTCTGAATGAATGAAGGCATGAATGAATGCCTGCCCAGGTTTCTGTGCGCTGCAGGGAGGGAGCTGTGGGCAGGGACAGTAGGAAACCTTGCTGGTCTTCCTGCCTGGGCTTGGTGCCTCCCCTCTCTCTTTCTTTCCCTCTCTCTCTCTCCCTCACTGGCCTGTCCTGACCATGCCGGCTGTCCCAGAAGGCTTTCACCTGGCCCCAGCAGGCCAAGGGCAGTACCTCATTGTTGTTGGAGAATTTCTCACAGGCTGTGACACAGAGCTCCGTGGTCTCCACTCGCATCTCCTCTGGCATGTCCGAGTGCTGGAGATGGGGCAGGGGACAAACGGAGAGACGCTTAGCCCCTGGCCTGTGCCCTTCTGGGCGGGCCTCTCTGTCCCGCGCTGTAGATGTGGGCACCAGGGGACTGCTTTGCCACAGCCCTGGGACCTGCAGCAGGGGTATGGGGTGGGCGCAAGCAACAGAGTGGCCCAGAGCCCTCTGCCGCGGGGCACAGCACACAGAGGGCAGGCGGCTGGGGAAACGCCGCTGCCTGAGGCCTGAGGGGCAGCCCACCACGGTCCAGGCGCCTCACTTGGTCATGTGTGAAACTTGTCTGCTTGCAGGTGGTCACTGGGGACCCCACCTCCACCTTGCTTCCCTGTTGTGTCTGACCTGTAAAGTGGGGGTCCCTACACTTTCCCGCCTCTCATCTAGGCTCTGAACTCTCCTTTCCTGCTGCCCTCTTAGAGGGCTAGAAGTAACCTGGTTCCCCCCTCCGCATACCTGCTCTTCCCACATCTCCCCTTTTCTCATCATGAACACCATCTTTCCCTACTGTCGTTAAGGACAGAACTGACCCTGGCCGTGGTCCCTCTTCCCCACAAGCCAGCCATATACCTTCCCCTTTCCAGCTGTGTCCTGCCTCTGCCCACGTCTTTCTCCCCCTCTCCTGGTTCCCCTCTTCCCACCCTGGGAAACACAGAACCTACCGTCCACACCCCTCCTCGGTCTCGGGGTCACCCCGGGCCGCAGTGCGGAGCTCGCTCCCTGGCTGGCTGGCCAGCCGCCTCCTGCTCTCCACAGCTCCAAGCTGGTCTGGCTCTCCCAGCCTCTCCTCTCCTGCCTGAACACCTGCTGTGCTTTTCCCCACAGCCCTTAGCCTGTGACCAGCTTGTGTGAGACTGCCCTTGCGGGGGCTACTCCTGGCTGCCTGCTCTCCACTCTAGCCACAGCACCCAGAGCCGTGCTTGGTTTCTCACAGGTGGTCTAAGGAAATACTGGTGTACGAATGGGAGAAGGAATGAATGAATGAAGGGATGAATGAATCTCGGTGGAGTCCTGGATGCCTGGATCTGTGCCAGCACGGCATTTTCCCGCATGCTCACGCGGCTACCCTGCAGGGCACCAGTGGCTGCCGGCTCTCTCCAGGCCTGTGGGCTCCACCTGCCATCCCCCCGGGGCTTACCCTGACCAGAGGGAAGGTCTGCAGTCGCTTATAATCGGCCTCGTCTTTCTTCCCTTCCGTTTCCCCCATGGTCCTTCCACTGCAGCCCCTGGAGGGGTGATGGGAGCTTCCTGGGGGGGCTGGGGCCGGCAGAGGTCACCAAGTGCTTCAGGAATCAGCCCTGCCAACCAGGAGGGACCAGGAAGCGTCCTTCCCCGAGGGGCTCTGTGAAGAACAGGAAAAACCAGGAGAGAGGAGACGGCTTTGAAAGCGCACATCACCAATTAGACACTCTTAGGGACAACCTGCCACCTCCCTGTCCTCACGCCTCCGCAGCCTTTCCCAAATGGCCAGCACGCCTGCAGACAGCGGATGAGTCAACAGGAGGTGCCGGGCCCGGGAAGAACATGCCGGTATGCCGCCTGCAAGCCCACACTGTCATCATCAAGACAAATACTGACTGTGGGCCAGGCAGAGCTGGGAGCTGGCGATGCGTGGATGTGGCTGTCCCACGGGCTGCCTGCCAAGCACGCAGTCCGCATTCCTGCATACACACGCACAGCCGGAAGCTGCATGTCAGGTCACCCCTGAGAGTGGGGCAGAGCCCCCTTCAAGCCTCGTCTGTGGGCATGGGGGAGCTCCCCACGCGCCCCTGGGCCATCTGGCACAGCCGGGCTGGCCTGAGTGAGGGCGCTAAGGAACCCGGGGACACCCACATCCAGCACACAGTGCTGCTGTGCGAACTCAATGAGGCCAGGCAGTGAGGCGGGTGCCGGGTGCATGGCAGACGCTGGAGCAGGTTGTTACCTGGGCTGGTGCTCAGGGCTATGAAGGGGTGACACAGATGGGAAGCTGTCAACCCTTAAAGGACACCCAGCCCTAATGACAGATGGGCTTTTCCTAAAGGATGGGCTTGGATCCTGAGTGGATGGGAACTCTGCGCCTCTCTCAGCGGGCAGTTCAAGGTCTCCGTTCAAAGTGTCTTTTTCTCAGGACCAACACATGGAACTACAAATCTCCAGGCTGCTAAAAACTTTTAAAAAGTTACATCTTTAGTTTTATCTTATTTGAAAGGCAGAGAGAGAGTGCTCTTCAGTTTGTTCGTTAATTCTCCAGATGCCCGCAGAAGCCAGGGCTGAGCCAGGCCAGACCTGGAACTCCATCCGGGTCTCCCACACAACGGGCAGGGACGTAAGTCCTTGGGCCGCCACCTGCTGCCTCCTTGGCTGCACTTGAGCAGCAAGTGGGATTGGACTGGAAGTAGAGGGCTCTGGGATGCGGACCGTGGGGTTCCCAGCAGCGACTTCACTGCTGGGCTAAAGGCCCGGCCCTGGGCCTGTCTCAGCGAACACACCCAGTAGTCTTTTTGCAGCATTTCTCACATGTCGGTGGTCACTGGTGGCACTGGTGACATCTCCCGTGAGCCCCCCTCCCCGACACTGCTCTCAGTGTGTATGCCTGTGCCCAACTCACTGCAGCGCCCCCAGGAGTTAGGGGGTGGGAGAGGACAGAAACAGGAACAGACCTGTCACGTCACTGGCCCGGGTTGCTTGGCCAGTGAGTGGCTCCGGGTAAGGCCCTGTCCCATGGGCTCCATGACAGTCGTAGCAGGCATGCCAGCATGTATCAAGCTGACCACTGCAGCTTGGTCAGATCTCACGGTGACATGAGCCTCATGTCCCCTTGGGCACCTGCTGTCCCAATGCTAATGCCTGGTGCCTCGTCTGGGCTGCACTCTCAATCTGACATCCCTGGCTATGCTCATGGAGCCCTGAGTGCCACCCAATTGGGCTGGCTCCCTCAAGTGAGGCTGGATGCCTGGCACAGACCCCCTCGCCTTGTGATATTGAATTTCTAGGCAACAGCCGGCCCCTCTAGTCTCCTGGGCATTAGGACCACTCAGTGCTGGCAGCTTCGTCTCTGTCTACCAGCTGGCAACTCCTCATCCTGTCCAGCCCGGCTTCTTCCTTTCCATCACCCCAGGGAGCTGTGCCATCCCAGCCAGTGCATGGGAAGCCCCTTCCCAGCCCCACCCTGCCCTCCACCGTCTCCTTTCCTGGCTCGCCAAGGCACGCCAGCAGGTGGCGGTGGTTGCGCCCATGACAACAGGATGTGGGCTTCCTGGCTTATTTACTTCCAAGCCTTTCGAGCTGGGGATAACTTCACAAGCGAACACAGACGGTCTGGCATCCTCCACCTAAACAGTTCTACTCCATTCAGTTCATCCCTGGGGCTGCAGAGAGCTGGCGTGGGGGGATTCAGAGCCAAGCATGTCCACGGCTGTGTGTCCAGTCAGGGTCAGCCTAGGCATGAGGCCCCAAGCCCTGGTCTCAACGGGTGTGTGTAAGCACTCGGCAACGTTAATGCTGGTAGCCACAAAGCTGTGGAGCTGCCCAACGTGCCCTTTGCCACATTGCCGGACAGGACTTGAGGGATAGCCACACCCACTAAGGACCACAATGCACCAGGGCTCACAGCTTTTCCTCACTGTTTCCTGTATGTGGCATGGTGGAAGGCAGGGCTGGGGGGTGGAGGGAAAAGGCCCCAGCCTCATGGGACGAAAAGGGACAGGTACAAATGATATGTTCCAAACACCAGAAGGCAGGAGCACATTCCACAATGCTGCATCAGCAGGGCACCACTGCAGGAACCCCATCTTGGGGTCTAGCCCTGCGGGGGGTGGGGGTGCTACCAGAAATAGCAGAATTCAGGGCTTTAAGCAACTCACTAATCTTCCCCGTAAATGAACTTCAGGCCCCACAGCCATCATGTCAGCCTAGCCAGCCTCTTAATAATTTAAGTGGGACTTGAAGCTGCTGGCTGCTGAAGCCCCAGCCCATGCCATCTGGTTCATGGTGGTGTGCGGAGTGCCGGCTGGCCTGCCTTTCTCTCTCTCTCCCTCCTTCCCTCTCTCTCCTTCTGCTCTCTCCTCCTCCCCCACAGGTCCCCCTGAGTGCAAAGCCTCTCCCGGGGGCACAGGCATGGCTCCTTGTCTCACCTTCTTGTCACAGCGGGGTCCCCTGGCACTGCTGTCCCTTAGGCTCACATGGGGTGAGCTTGGTCACCCTGAGCATTTCGCTTCTGAAGCATGTTGGGAAGGATCCTGAAGAGGGCTGAGGGTATGTGGGAGCAATGAGGAACAACAAGCGTATTCTGGGAGACAGGCCAAAGGTATCTGGCAGCCCAGAGCTGGGTGGCGGGGGGAAGAGGTGAGGGGTAGTCATTCACTTCCCTCACATCTCAGCTCAGCTCCCCTTAACTCCCACCACACCTCCGAGTGGTGGCAGGGCAGTGTCCGGGGTTCAGGCTGTACCCCAGCTTGGTTCTCTCAGATTACCCATCTCCATGCCTCACCTTTTTCACCTGGAAAATGACGTCAGATCCTATTACAGGTGTGGCAGGAAGGGGAATGCCATCGGCCAGCCGGCCACCTGGGCAAACTTTGAGCCAGCTCTGTGTGTTTACCCAGCTCCCACTACACCTGACCCCGGGGACGACGCAGTTACAGAGGAGATATGAGTGTGGTGACAGCGGCGTGCTTCCCGCTCCTCATCTCATGCTTTCTTCCCACGGCCCAGGGGGAAGAGCCATTCCCTGCACACAGCCCAGGCACGTGGGGTTTAGGACAGCCATGCAAGCATCTATCCTCCCTGGCACCTGCTAGACTGGCCATTCGTCTGGGTCTGCCTTGGTCACCTACTGTCTTCCAACAAACAAAAAATGTTACTAAGTAACAGCACCGCGGACACATGGTCTACCATGAAAGGGGAAGGCTCAACAGCCAGAGAAGACAAGGGCAGACCCACATGGCCTCATTTTTCCTCACTTCCCTAAGGAGCGGTGATCGGGTGTGTTAGTGGAGGGAAGGGGGAATGAATGGGATATAGAAAGTATAAGGGATGGATATATAGGGTGGTCATAGATGAGAGATGTATAGGATGATTTGAAGGGGTTATAAATTTTGGGGGGGGGTGGATTGTGTATTGGTTTATATAGAAAATAAGATTGAAAAATGGAAGAAATATGAGGGAAATAGGAAAAGAATAAAGATAGTGATATGTGGGTATTGGGGGGGTAGGGGATGTAGGTATATATTGTATAGGATATGTAGATGTATGCGAGAGGTTTGAGATGGATAATAGGAGTTTATATGGAGTAGAAAAGATGAGTGGAAGTAGAAGAATGTTGAAGTTTAAATGAGGGAAGGGGGAGGTATAGGGGGAGTGAGAGGGAATTGATGGATAAGGTGGGGGGAAATTGGAATTTTTTTTGAAGTTGAAGTTATTAGGGGTTGGGTTTGGTAAGTTAATAGTTATGGATGGTGGGTAGGTTTGGGTAATGGTACTGTATAAGTGGGTGAGAGGAATAGAGATAATGGGTTGGGAAAAATTTATGTGTGGTAATGTAATGGTATAAGAAGGAATATTAAGATGATGAAGCGAGGGGCTAGGGTTCCACGGGGGCTCTAAGCATCTTCTGGGAGAGAACAAGAGTCCAGCTTGTCTGCAGGACAGAAGTTTGCATAAAAGGAAGAAATAAAACTGGGGAAATAGGCTGAGATTGGGGAGTGATTAGTACAGTGGGACCCTAAAATCCTGCCTCTAGGAGGGCGCTGTGACACAGCGGGTTAGGGCAACACCTAGTGCCAGTGTTCCGATATGGGCACCGGGTTGTGTTCTGGTCGCTCTACTTCTGATCTAGCTCCCTGCTACTGCACCTGGGGAAGCAGCAGAGGATGAACTGAGTGTTTGGACTCCTGGACTCACATGGGAGACCCAGAAAGCTTTAAGTAAATGGCCCTAACTGATACGGCCTTCTGGGGGAGTGAACCAGCAGATAGGATCTCTCTGTGTAACTCTGCTTTTCAAACAAACAAATCAATCAACGGAATCTTTGTGCAAATCAAGCAGCCTTCAGAAAAGCAGCTGTCTGCAGCAGGCACTCGGCAGAGCACCTGCGTCCCTTCCTACAGTACCTGGGTTCAAGTCCCCACTCTGCTCTTGATCCCAGCGTCCACACACCACAGGAGGCAGTAGGTGATGGCCCAGGCAGCTGGGTCCCTATCACCCATGCAGGAAACCTGCCATGGATTTCCAGCTTCCAGATTTTGTCTCTGCCCAGCCCTGGTTACCAGGGAACTTCGGGGATGGAACTGGCAGTCTGTCACTCTGTTTCTCAGGGTTTGTTTTTTTCTTTCCTTTTTAAAGATTTATTTTTATTGGAAAGGCAGATTTACAGAGAGAAGGAGAAACAGAGAGAAAGATCTTTCCGGTGCTGGTTCACTCCCCAAATGGCCGCAACAGCTGGAGCTGAGCCAATCCAAAATCAAAAACCTCTTCCAGGTCTCCCACGCAGGTGCAGGGTCCCAAGGCATCGGGCCATCCTCTATCATTTTCCTAGGTCATAAGCTGGAAACTGGATGTGAAGTGGGGCAGCTAGGACACGAACCAGTACCCATATGGGATGCCGGTGAAGGATTAGCCCTCGGTCCCACCTCTGACTTCTGCTCCTGCTAAGCCATACCCAAGGAAGGCACTTGAGTTCCTACCACATGGGAGACCCAGGACAGGCTCCAGGCTCCTGGCTTTGGTTCTGGCCCAGCCACAGCTACTGTGGGCATTAGGGAGTGAACCAGTGGATGGAAGATCTGTCTTGCTGCCATTCAAATCAATAAAAATAAAAAATATATTTTATAAAAATAGCTGTTGGGTAGACAGAAAAGCCAGGTGGCTTGATGTCGGAAGTGCGGAGTTTAAGTCGCTAGCAAGATATGCAGCAGGTGGAGGCTTCCAGTCAGGGACTGGAAGTTACCAAGTCACGGACTACTGAGAATCCAGGGGAGCCAGTGAGTCCATTATGGCATCAATAATCAATGCATTCATCTCTTCGTCCCCTGCCTGCCCCACTGACAAAGCCGGGGAGAATACGCTGGCGAAATGACAGCTGGCAAGAGGGGGCAGCGTGGGGACAAAGGTCTACACTGCACTCCAACCACGTCGGCCCCAGAATCCCCCAAGGGGATGTGCTATGGGATTCCATCTCAGGGAGGTGGGGTCACTCGTTGGGGTCCCCACGGCTGGGGGATCCAAGTCAAGTTGGCCAAGTTTTTCTCCCCTAACTTCTTCTTTACAGTGGGGAGACTATGGCCTCAGAAGGAATTGACTAGCCTGGAGTTCCCAGCATGGTCAACTCTCCCAGCCAAGCGGGGTCCGGTCCAGGCGAAGGCGGTGCTGACCACCCGTCCGCCCATCTGCCAAAAGTGGGGGAATCAAGGTGCTGGGGGGTCAAGGAGGAGGCGAGCGCGCCAAACCGGGGCCTCAGCGGCGTAGGGAGGAGCGGTGATGGACACTGGGCGACGGAGCGCCCCGAGGCCCGAAGTTGGGGTGGGGTTGGGGCTGAGTGAGGAGGAGCAGGCAGCGGGGCTGGGCTTGGGGCCTCGACGGTGGGCGAGGCCTCGTCCGTCCCGCGGGGCCTCCCACCGCCCTCCCTCCCCGCCTGGCGGCCCGCCGCGCCCCCCGGGGGCCTCACCTGCTCCCGCGGGGGCCGAGGGCCGGGGCCGCGGCCAGAGCACCCCCGCCGGGGTTGTCAAGGAGCGAGACCAGAGTGTCTTAGCAACCAGCCCGGAAGTCCTGCCCCCTCACCGGACGTGGACGGCCGTTTCACTTCTTAGGGGTGACTTCAGATGTCAATCCATGCACGGAAGGGGCGTGGCTCGGGGGCAGGTCTGGGGTTTTAGTCGTCCGCGGCGTGCCGGAGGAGAGGGTCTCCGAGTTGTGTTGCTAGAGGAGCGCAACTTGGAAAAGCGCGATCGCCCCGAGATTCTTTGGCCGGATGAAGTAGCAAGTGCAATGTGTTGGTGACTGTGGGTTGTTCCTGGATTAGCCTCCCGTAGACGTCACTAGCTTTTAGGGAGGGTTTTTATGAAGTCCTTGGTTCGCACCTTGGCCCCTTTTTAGGTTATGGCATCTGAAGTGGGGAGGGGGAGTAGGTACTTGTAGATAAACGCAACCCAGGTATTCTTTGCACAGCACCATGCTCTCTGGAAGTCCCTGCCACACAGCTGGCCCTAGTCTGGGCCAACATCCTGCAGACTTTATACGTTTGTTGTGAAGATTACTGGGAGCGAGATGTGGCTGTGTCAAGGCACCCTGGGGTCGGTGCTGGTTTTCTCCTGCAGGGCGCCATCTAACTCAAGGTGTGATGCAGGGTGTGGTCCGGGTGGACCAGCAGGTTCCCTGGGGACCTGCTTGTGGCTCCAGGAAGCTTGGGTACTGGGTGAATGTGGCGCAGGTGACCATTGCTGGGGGTTGTTGTCAACCTGCCCTCGTCAGTATTTTGCCTAGGGAAACCCAGTAACCCTGTGGGGTTTGGACTAAGGAGGGCTAGTTCTAGGTGAAGAGGGCGAGTGGGGACAGAAGCAAGGACAGCGGAATGGACATGGGAATTTGGTGCTAGGTCCTCTGCCTGACTCAGCCTCCCAACTGCCTTCATCCTGGCTGCCAATCCAGGAGGTGGAAGATGGGCGGGGGTAATACTCTTGCCCGCGCCTCTCATCCCAATTTCTCCCCGAAGGGGGCTGCGTTGGCTGTCTTCTCTTTCTCACCTCCCCGCGGCTCTGCAGCCCACGGGCAATCTGGCTCCCACGCCCACACTACAGAGTGTTCCCTTTGCCAATGGTTACCATGGGGGCAGTGGGAAGGAACCTCCTCAAGCTGGGAATCTGGCAGACCCTCCCAGCCTTCATGGGCACATCTATTCTGCCAGCCAGGCCCCCTCCTTCGAAAGTCCCTCCCGAGAAGCAGTGCCCCTGGGGGCACTCTGAGTGGATTCCAGGTCTGCTGCACTGGGTTGGTGGGCCACAAGGATGGGGCATCTCACGGGCACCACAGGTGCACCCAAGCTGGACAGGGCCTCTCTTCCTGGCCTTCTCCTTGGGCTCTTCTGCCTTTGTTCCCCACACACCCACCCCCTGGGCACAGCTCAACCCTTCTCTTCTCCCCAGTGGCCTTGCATTTACTTCCAGCCTCGGTCACCCCTGCCCCCTGTCCTCCATCAGGAGTAGGGTTCCTCTGACCACAGTTGCAAGGGCATTTACTGAAATTGAGGGAGGGGTATGCACCTTGGAGAAGACTCCTGTGAGTCTGAGCACGAGGAGGCTGCCTTGGGGACCTCTTCCTTGCCTGCAGAGGGCTGCCGTGGTTAACATCTCTCTCAATTCTACTAGTGTCCGTGTTTTCCCAGCTAAGGCCTCTCTCCTCTGCTCCAACCCTGTGCCTCATGCCCCAGCTACACCAACCCGTAATAGCAGGGACCTTGTCCTTTCTGCCCCTTTTAATTCTCATCTCCCACACAGGACTTAACGGAGAGCAATCACTCAGCAAGCATTTCGTGAACGTTCAAGTGAATGAAGGAGCAGGTAGGGACTGATCCCACGTCTTCAGACTCAGCTCTTGTTAATCCCCAAGACTCAGTGTGTGTCCCAGCTGCCCCTGCATACTGGTGTACCTACTCTTGGAGACAACAGGTGGTGGACCCCCTGGCACTACTGACAGAGAAAACCGTAGCTTATATAATCTGTGGTTTTGCTTTTCTCACTTAGGACAGAACCCAGGGCTGGCAGGTGTGGGCCCTGCATCCATCATGGGGTGACAGGTGTGCCCCCAGAGTCTCACAGTCCAAGCTGCAAAAGAAGGACAAAGGACTAATCACTGGTCACCATGGGTCAGGGTCCTGATGAGACCCCCCATCTCTGTTCATCATGGTGTAGTAGGGGGCTAGAGTGTGTATTGCCAGCTATTAGTATCTCCTCTTCCAGTTTCTGTAACTTCTAACCCATGTCAGGCCTGACCCTCCTCCCTCCACCTGACTGCTTCACCTGGTCACCATCTCCCAGCTGATGATGCCCGGCTGGGGTCCACCACTGAAGACATGGGGGTGGGTCAGGATATAGCCATGGGAAACCTCAGGCCAAGGCAACTGAGTTAGATTGATTTTTAACTATTTATTGATTTGAAAGGAAGACTTAGAGAGAGGTTTTCATCTGTTGGTTTGATCCTCAAATGGCCTCATCAGCTGGAAGTGGAGGCTGGGCTAAAACCAGAAACCAGGAGCTCTGTCTGGGTCTTCTGAAAGACAGCTGGGGCCCAAGTGTGGGAGCCATCTTCTACCTCCCCAGGTACATTAGAAGGGAGCTGGATGGAAGTGGAACAGCCAGGATTCAAACTGGGGCCCTCAGGGGATGTTGGGGTTGTGACAGCTTACCTTGCAGTACGTCACAATGCCGGCCCCTGCCAGTTGGATTTTTGTAATTCTGTGCCCAGTAGAGAGTCGGGCATAGAGTTATCTGATGGGTGAACGGGTGGCTCAGAGGAAAAAGCCTTTGGACCTCCTAGAATCAATGTCACTGCTCTTAGGCCTTAGGACTGGCCTTGTGCTCGTGGTCTGAGCCTTTTCACCATTGTATCCCTGTCTGAAGCAACAGTTTGGAATGAGCAAGAAGAGGCAGGGAGCCCACCCCGCATCTCCCGCCCATGTGTGCCTGCTGGGGAGTCCCAACGCCATTTCCTTCTGTTCTGTCCTGTCATAGGGATGCAGCCACACCCCGAGCTACAGGGAACCCTGGGCATGTGTGTTTATACTGAGTGGCCCAGCTCAGAGTAGGCTGTGTACTGGGTGCACAGGAGGAAGTTCTCTTCCTGGGAGTGAAACTAAGGGGGAGGGCCTTCTTGGCAAGCTGCCCAGATGCTTGCAGCTCTGTGGCTTTAGCAGGTCACCTCCCTTCCCAGAGCCTTGGCCAATGGGAATGGTCATGAGGACCTGCAGGCAAGTGCAATAGGGATTAAGTGAGCAAGACCACTCCCTGCTGAGTTCCAGCCCATGCAGCTCCTGCGGCTCAGTGTGGCCCAGCATCCAGGCCCCTCTGAAGAAGGAACAGGAATGCAGAGCCCGGGTAGGTGATCACCCAGCAAGACACAGGGGCAGAGATGCACATGGGGCTGAACTTGGCCCTGAGATTCTAGGGAGAGATACATTATTCTTAAAGACATATTCATTTATCCCAAGGGCAAAATGAAAAAGAGAGATCTATTCCCACTAGTTCTCTTCCCAAATGACCAGAAACCGGTTCAAATTCAAGAGCCTAGAGTTCCATCCAGGTCTTCCACGTGGGTGGCAAGGGTCCAGGCATGATGCATTCATTTGAATGTCATATTGCAGAGAGAAGATCGAGAGAGATCTTCCATTTGCTGGTTCACTCCCCCAAGTGGCTGCAATGGCCAGGGCTGAGCCCCTCCAAAGCCAGGAGCCAGAAGCTTCACCCGGGTCTCCCACGTGGGTGGCAGGGACCAAGTATTTGCTCTGTTTTCTACTGCCCTCACCAGAGTGTTATGAAGAAACTAGATCAGAAGTGGGTCAGCCAAGACTTTGAATGGGTTGGGGACACTGCAAGTGGCAGCTTAGCCACTGAGCCCCAGTGCTGGCCCTAAGTGTGTGTGTGTGTATTTAGTCCTTTGCAGTTCTCTCTAACGGGTAGGTCTATTGGCCTTGAAGTGTTTTTCCCCCTGTGGGTTTTCAGTTTTGTTCCCAGATATGTCTGGTTACTGTTTCTCGAATGCCAAGCCTCCTGTAACAAAAATATCCTCGTGTGAGATTTTGGATGCTGTTCTCTTCCTCCTGGGAGGACTTACTTCTGTTTCTGGCACGCTCTCAGGGAAGGGGTGGGCACCTTGATTTAGTTGGTGAATGAGTGAGCGCCTGGGGCTGACTCAGCCCGGAGCACTGGGAGAGCTTCGCCTCCACTCTCGTGGCCCCCAAGGTACCATGTGCTGAAACTCAGTCCCCACTGTGAAGTAGGTGGTGGTTTGATCCGTCCGTGGGATTTTCCTCATAGAGCCTTCAGAAAATGACAAGGTCGTGAGGAAGTGGCCCCTGTGATGGAATCCTGGTGACTTCACACATGGTGCATGCTTGCCTCTGGCCACTTGAGGCCCTGCACGACCTTGGGGCTTCTGCCAGACAACTTCATCCTCAGATTGGTGTCGGACACCTTGGTCCTCTAGAACCATGAGCCAAAACCAAAGCGCTTTCCTGGATAAAGTAGCCTGACTCAGGTCTTTCCTTATAGTAATAAGAACTGGAGCAACATCGTTTGCAACTTACTCTACTTTGAAAGTGTAACTCTTGGGGTCCAGCCGAAGTCCCGGGTCATGGGTCAGAGGGCCTCTTCCTGAACTTGGCTGTTCACCTAGCAGCTCTGCACTATTGCTTCTTGAACATGTTGCCTGGCTTACTGACTGTGCCCTGCAGTAAGAGGGGTGGTGCTCAAGGGGTGGCGGCAGCCCCCAGAGTCAGGCCTATCTCTCATTACTTCTCCCCGGCGTCTGTCCCCCAGCTCTAGCCTGTCTGGGTACCCCTTGGAGGCCTTCTTTGGAAGCCTTGAAGATACTATTATACACATCTAAAAAATTATATGTTTGAAAGGCAGAGTGACAGAGAAAGATTTTCCCTCTGCTGATTCACTCCCCCAGTGGCCACAACAGGTAAGTCTGGACTGGGCTGAAGCCAGGAGCCAGAAGGCCATCGGGGTTTCCCACATGAGCAGGAGTCTAAGGACTTGGGCCATCTTCTGCTCTCGCAGGTGCATTCACAAGAAGCTGGATTGGAAGTGGAGCATCCGGAACTTAGTCTGTGTCACCCACTGTGTCCTGTGGAGTCCGAGGCTTGAGCTGGGGCCTGACACTTCCCAGCCATGGGAGCTCAGTCAAGTCTCCTCTCTTGGTCTTGGTTTTCTTGTAATACTTCCCACTTTGCACCAGATAAACCAACGAATGCCCAGTACTGATTCAGGGGACAAAGGTAAAGATGGTCTGCTCCCTCCTAGGGCTGACTTTATAGTCGGGGGGATGCTGAGTGACTCACAGTGAGTGAGTGAGGTCATCAACTGGAAGGGCATGCCAAATATGAATTACAAAGGGCGGCCAAGGAGTTGGTGCTGGGGCGCCTCAGATTAAGCCACTGCCTGTAGTACCAGCATCTCATTTGAGCACCAGTTTTTTGACCTGGCTGCTCCAGTTCCAATCCAGCTCCCTGCTAATGCACCTAGAAAAGCAGTAGAAGATGGCCCAAGTCCTTGAACCCTGTACCGATGTGGGAAACCCAGATGAAGCTCCTGGCTTCTGCCCAGCTCAGCCTTGGCCATTGTGGCCATCTGGAGAGTAAATCAGCAGATGAAATATCTGTGTATACGTGTGTGTATCTCCCTCTCTGTTATTCTGACTTTGAAACAATAAATACCCCTTTAACTAAAAGGATGACTGAGCAGGTGACTCCAGCAGGTCTGGGCCCACCTGCTTGGCCGTGCTAGGATGTAAGTCATCAACAACATCTTTATTTTACAACAAATCCAGAGCCATCTGGGACGAGAATGGAGGCAGCTCAGGCATGCTGCTGATCCCAGGGGAGACCTCAGTGATGGCTTTCTTTTGACTGCAACTCTTCCAGTGTCATCCCTGCCCCCTGGCCCTCACTGGAGGAAGTCACTCTCCCAGGGAGCCTGGGAAGCTTCGGGTGAGTGTAGGGAGCCCTGGCCTGCTGGCGTGACCTCTAATCCTTAACCAACAATATGAGTAGTGATAGTACAGAGTAAGAGGAAGGGGAGAACTGAGTGTGAGGGCGGCAGGTGCAGTGCTGTCAGATTGCAGCAGGGGGAGGAGTCCAGGTGCATGGCGGGGAGGGGAAGGCTTAAGAACCAGCTGACCTTTCACTCTCCTCGCCCCCACTCCTCCAGGAACCCCAAGACATGCAATAATGGGGGTGCAGGCACATGACTGGGACAGACGGAATGTGAGGACAAATCGGGGACCCAGATCCCAGAACTGGGGCACACGGTGGGGATGGCGTGTTCGGAATGAGGTCACCGCCCAGTTGTCAGAACTGGGGCACGTTCCATGTGGGACTCATGTCCCGCACCCCCTTGCTGCAGGCATCCCAGGAAGTGAAGTGTGACTGAGTAGAGGTGCAGGAGGCGGGCACAACTGGGCAGCTAGGGTGGGGTGGAGAGAGAGTTGGGGACATCTATGGCTCTGGGCAGGGAGGGGGCAGTTCTTGGTCAGTCTCCTCCCTTGTCTGCCCCTCCCTCCATCCGCAGCAAGAAGAGCCTCAGTAAACCACGTGTTTATTTGGATCATTCAGATTTACAAAACTGAAATCTAACAAAACCATAATGTGGATCACACACACACACACATATGCACACATGTCATATCCTGTGTCACTTTATGTACAAAACAGGGCAGGGGGTGTGTGGCAGAGGCTGGACATCAGCGGCACAGCGTCGGACAACTGGACATGCTTGCTCTCTGCTGGGCTGGACCCGGGAGCCCCTGTCCCACCTGGCAGGAGTGGGGGTCTGGGCAGGTGGTGGGGAGGGCAGGCAGCTGGGAGAGAGGCGTGGGATGAGAGCGGCCCTGTTCTTGGAGAGGCCCCTTCCCCAGGGTGCTCAGGCTGTGGGTGCCGCCGAGGATAGAAATGGAATGGGTGGGAGTGGCAGCTGTAAGACCAGAGGAACCACCGAGGCCTACAGCACTGAGCGCTGAGAAGATGGGGCTCGTGTCCCCACTCCGGGGTCTCAGTGGGGTGGCCTCCAGCTCCTCACCTGCTCTGCCCTCTGCTGTGTGGACCCAGCTCATGCACAACAGTGGGACGGGCGGTGGCTGGCGAGGTGGCACCAGGAGGCTGGCAGACGGCAGCTGCGAAGCACCTGGCACGGAGCTGGGCCTGTGGCAGGAGCCTGAGGGCAGCGGGCCCCCTACTGTTCCTCCCCAGGGCTCCTAAGGGACTCATTCGGCTTCCTTTTTCCCTCCCAGCTCCCCAGGAAACTCCAGGGGGAATCAGAGCAGGGTGGGAGGGACACACGCTCCTAAGGGAGCCTCACCATGGCACCCTGTTTCTCCCCTATACACTCGGCCCCCAGGACTGACCCGATGGGGCCTGAATGTCCCCTGCCCTGGCCTGGAATCTTGCTGGTGGCTTTCCTCAGCTCTCTGTGCCCAGTGGCGTCACCTGTACCACAGGCTAAGGCTACCTGTGGCTTGTAGCCAAGACATAAGAACACACACGAGGCTGCCTGCGAAGTGCCCAGTGTGGGCCAGATGTTTACTACGGCACAACACAGGCTCCCTCCCCCACTTCAGCTCACAAATCAAGGTCCCAGTCCCTTTTCTTGTCATCTGCACGTGCCTGGACACAGCCCAAACAGCAGGTGCTTGATAAATACATGTAAAATAAATAAGGGGAGAGGTAGGGGCTTTAGAAATTGGGGGCCAATTTCTATGACTCAGGCTCAGAGCCCACACACCAGCATCTCCAGCTGTCCCTCTGACCAGGGTGATGAAGCTGAGGGATGAGGCTCAGACGTCATCGTGTGTCACCATTGCCCTGACAATTCCCCAGGCCACTACGAAAACTACCTCCCTAAGCAGTAACAATCAATTCCAGTTCCAATCCTGCCGTCACCCCAGCAACAGCGTGCGTCACGGCCATGAGACACTTGACCCAGCATTTGGGCTGATGTCATTGGCTGTCTCCGGGGCAACCCAGAGCCTTGTGGGGTCTGGCGGAAGCTGTTGTCGGCCCCACTTCCAGGGAAGGCTGGACTCAAGAGGCTTCGTGATCTCTTTGGGCTCTCGAAATGGAAACGGGAGCTGAGGGCTGGAGGCGACAAGGCTCGGGAGCAGCGCCCATGGCACTGGGCCCCATGCGGCCTGCTGCACCTGCGTCATGGCTCTGGCTAAGCAGCCATGGGGATCGCAGAGAGAGAACAAAAATGGGGGTGGGGAGGGTAAGAAGCACCAGGGCCCACTTGAGCCATGCTTGCATCTGCAGGCTGCTCAAACACCTGCTAGGTGGCAGGCAGGAAGAAGGACATGTGTTTCCCCATCCGACACCCTACCAGTGAGTCCCAGGACCGAGCCCTTCCTCCCCCATATCCTGGGGTGCCAGGATGTCTGGGGGTTGTATAAAGGGAGGCTATGCAGTACTATGCTGGAGACATCCTGACTCCTGGTGTGCCCATCCTCTTGGATTGTAGCCTAGACCCCAAGATCCTCAAGAGCAGGCAGTGTAGTGGGGAACAAAGAGAATGGAGGAGGGGCTCAGAAGCCCTGGATTCAAGCCCTGTTTCACTGTCCTGGGGACCTTGTGCAGGTCACCTGCCCCCACCCCCCACCAAGTTCTTTCCCAGTTCTCACAAGCAAAAGGTCAGACTATGTGGCTTCTCTCAGCTCTCATATTGTGCCACTCTAGGCAGCTGACACTTGCAAAGGTCTTCCAGGAGCCTTGCACTAGCTCTTGACCCTTAGGGCCAGCTGCTGACCCTAGCCTGTGACTGGCTTGAGCGCATGGGCCTCCCAGTTCCAAGACTTGCCCTGCAAAGGACTTGGGTTTCCCTCACTGTATCCACTTGGAAACAACGTTCCTGTTCTTTCTGCAGGGCTCTCTGTCTACATGACAAGGGCAGGACCCCAAGGGGACAGGCACTTACAGGAGACCACACCACAGGTTAGCAACAAGGGCTGGCTGGGAACCAAGGGCTCCCGCCTCCCACTGTTGCACGCTTCTCCCTTCCTGCTCCAGGGATGCAAAGGGGGGAAGATAATGTGGCTTGGCCAGAGGTGGCATCTTCCGGGCTGTGAAGTCTCCACCTCAAGCCGCTCCTGACCCAGGCTGACATGGCTCAGGCCTGGTTCTGGGCATGTAGTCGGGAGGGCGGTCATGCCTGTGGGTACAAGGAGGAGGATCCCTGGGCCTCACCCTTCAGACTGGAGCTGGGAAGAGGACCAGGGATTGGGCCAGGCCAGGAGGGGAGCCAACATTCAAACCATGGCACACAGAGCAAGGGGGAGGAGGGGGTAGGGGAGGCGGTTCTAAGCTGCCCTTGCCTGGCAGTTGAAAGGGAAAGAAGGAAGATCCATTCAACATCCTCCACGGCTACAGCCTGCGAGTCCCCGAGGGGCAGGGGTACGCCAGGGGAGCCTTCCCAGGGTCATGGGTTCAGGTGCAACTGGGGGATGGGGAGAGCCCACCAGGCCACGGCCAGGAGGGCACCGGAACCTGGCCTCACCCCTGCTCATCCTGTTGGTGAGAGACTTATGGCCCTGGTGTGGTATAGGGACGCCAGCTCCCCTGGTTCTGGGCTGGGCATTCTGCAGGGGTGGGCAAAGAAGTGGGGAATGGGAGGCAAGACCAGGGCAGGGGTGGGAGAGAGGGAAGGCGGAAGTGGCAGACATGGGGGATCCCTGGCCAAGGTCTCAGGCCTTGGCCTTTCCCTTGCAGACATCAAAGGCAGCCTTAGTGGCACCACCGAAAGCTTCCACCAGCCTGTCCTCCCAGGGCACGATATTGCCCCGCAGCGGTCCAGTGCAGTTGGCGATGCTGAGGACCTGGGCAGGTGTCAGGGTGTGGTCCCACAGGTTAAACTGAGTGATGTCACCAACGAAGGCCTGGGTGGCATCAAAGCGCCCTCCCAGGGTATCCTGGTCCGAGAGGAGAGTGGAAAAGAAGAGATGCTGAGTGAGAGCATGGGAAAAGCAGGTAGGCAGGCAGGTGCACCCAGAGTCCCAAGTCCCAGCCCAGGGTCCAATCCTGCCCATGGGTAGCTCTCATCTCCCTCTAACCCTCAGTCTGTCCATCTGCAAAATGGGGAGACAACAGGATGGGATCTGAGGGTCGCTCTGTCCCATGCCTCCTCCTCAGAGTGCCCGGGGTAGGTGGGTGGGAGTAATGACAGCGGCCCCACCCCATCCCAGTTTACATCATACCTGCTCTTGGCCCAGGATAAGGATCCCATGAGGCTTGATGGGGTGCCAGGCAGCCAGGTTCTCGCCAGAGCCCCGCAGCTCCCCATCTTGGTAGGCAGACCACAGGCCGTCCCTCGTGGTCCAGGAAATACAGATGTGGTGCCATTCCTTGTCCTTCAGGCTCAGGGGCAGCTGGGTGACCTGGACACCAACTCTAGGTCAGAGGGGCTGTGAGGCCCCAGGCTGGGGTCGGGGTGGGTAGCGGGAGAGAGGAGGCCTTCCTCCCAGAGACTGACCTGATGCTTGACCCTGCCCTTCTCCCCAGCCTAGTGTCCTTCCTAGATACCCTCCCCCTCCCCAACTTCTTTCCCCAGAAGTTACTCCGAGGCTTCCTGCCGACCCCTCATGACTTTGTTCTTTGGTTTCCAGTGACTTTGGGGGCATTTATTCCCTCTGGTAGGCCCACGGGTCACATGGGGGTGGGAGTGGCATCTCCACAGTGCCCAGCACACAGCCAGGGCAGCAACAGAATGAGCCTCACTCTAAGCCTGGGCATTGGCTCTGGCTCCACCGCCAACCCCGTGTGACTGTGCGAGGCTGTTCTCTCACTCCTGGGCCTGTCTTCTTGTCTATAAAGCACAGAGTTTGGGCCCGGTGGCGTGGCCTAGTGGCTTGAACATGCCGGGATCCCATGTGGGCGCCGGTTCTAATCCCCGCAGCTCTACTTCCCACCTAGCTCCCTGCTTGTGGCCTGGGAAAGCAGTCAAAGACGGCCCAATGTTTGGGGACCCTGCACCTGTGTGGGACACCTGGAGGAGGTTCCTGGCTCCTGGCTTCGAATTGTCACAGCACTGGCCATTGCGCTCGCTTGGGGAGTTAATCATCGGATGGAAGATCTTCCTCTCTATTTCTTCTCTTCTCTGTATATCTGACTTTGTAATAAAAATAAATAAATCTTAGAAAAAAAAAATAAAGCACAGAGTCCGGCAAAGACACAATTGCTGCCTTTTCCACCACTCAAGGCAGACAGGGCCAATTGATCAGGAGCCTGGCCTGAGCCTGATTCTTCCTCGTCCCAGAGCTCTGGGAATGGTCTGTAGATGGACCAGACTATGCCTGGGAAAAGAGGTGCTGGCTCTTCATGGACTCGGTGCTCTCAAAGGGCTCTTTCCTAAGTTCTTGAAGCTCACGAAGTTTATGTACAGTTTCTAAGGTCTGCTGGGTGACGGTCTTGTCCTGCACATTGGGGATCTGGTCCCAGCCGTAAGTGTGCTGTGTCTGCACAGGAGGGAACAATACTGCAAGACCACGGGGGAGGTACAGAGGCCGCAAAGATCCAGAGAAAGACAAGGATTTGGGAACGGAAGGAACTAAGTCTTAGAGGCTGGAACAGGGAGGGACCAGTGTTGTGGTGCAGCCAGTAAAACAGCTGCTCTTCAATCCAGCTCGCTGCGTATGCACCCAGGAAAGCAGCAGAGGATAGGTTAAGTCCTTGGGCTTTGGCACCCCCGTGGGAGGCTGGGTTCTGACGGGCATCAAGCATTCCCAGCAGCTCGGTGTGGCTGAAGGCTGGTTCCACATGGGCGTGATGTGTGTGGCTGCATTTGTAGGGGTCCCTAGATACCCCCATGCCTGCCAGGCCCTAAGCAGGTGTGGGGCAGGCAGAGGTGGAGAACTTGGGGAACAAAGTTGGAGCTGCGTGACGGTGATTAGATGCTTCCCCCTTTCTCCTTGGGACCATGCCCTGTCTCCCCCTCCTTCCCAAGCTTGTTCTAGCCTCCAGCCAGGCTGGGGCTGGGGTGTGGGGACAGGAGGACTGGGCATGAGAAAGATGGGTAGAGTAGGGGAGGGATTAGGAGACAGTTTCTGGAGCCCAAGACTCCAAATCACACCATTACCCCTTCAGCTGTGTGGCTGGGCTACATTGTTTCCTACCTCAGTTTATCTATCTGCAAAATGGGGACAGTGAAGGCATCTCTCTCAGCGCCGTAGGGAATCAGGAGAGGAGAGAGGAGTAACGTGTTGATGAGTCCCCATCTGTCAGGGCTTGGGATCTGTTTAGAGCCCTTGACTTCCCCTGAAGCCATTTGTTTCTTACTATAGCCCTGGGAGGGCCTGGCACAATAGTGTAGTGGTTAAGGTCCTCGCCTTGAACGCGCTGGGATCCCATATGGGCACAGGTTTGCATCCCAGCAGACCCGCTTCCCATCCAGCTCCCTGCTTGTGATCTGGGAAAGCAGTTAAGGACAGCCCAAAGCCTTGGGACCCTGCACCCACGTGGGAGAACTAGAACTAGAACTAGAACTCCTGGCTCCTGGTTTCAGACTGGTTCAGCCCCAGCCGTTGTGGCCACGTAGGGAGTTATCATCGGACGGAAGATCTTCTTTTCTGTCTCTCTTCCTCTCTGTATATCCACCTTTCCAATAAAAATAAATAAGTTTAAAAAAAAAAAAAGCTATAGCCCTGGAAGCTAGAGGTACTATCATCCTGGCATTCAGGCTCCCAAGGCTGGTCAAGACGCCACTCTCCCTTCCATGGTGGAAGAGAGGCAAATGTGCTGCTCCCGGGGAGTGTAAGAGGAAGGAGGCCGCCAGCACCCACCCCCACAAGGAAGACCCTTCAGCCCCTGCCTGCCTTATCACTACAAGCTCATCCACCCCTTTCAGCCAGCCCTGTGCCAGGATCATCCCAGAAGCCAGGCAGGTATGAGTATGCTGGAATATGCCCAGCAGGTGGGGCAGGTGTTCGGGGTGGGGGCGGGGAGGGGACGGGCCCTGCCCAGCCCGGCTTACCTTGTCATTAATAAGCAGCTCCATAGGGTCCGGGCCAGCTTCCAGCAGCACAATCTCATTGGCTTGCCCAGGCACTGAGTAGGAGAAGGGGGTGCCCTGACCGGGACCACTCGAGCGGGAGCGGAGCCACACGCAGGCAGTGAAGGCGTAGAGCTCGGGCAGGGCTTTGCGCACGCGGGCATACATGTAGTTGTTGCGGATGGGGATGCTAATCTTGAAGGCGTGTGGGGGACTGTAGGCAGAGGACCCTGGGGTGGGGGTGGGGCACAGGATGGAGGTCAGATACAGGGTGGACCGACACTCATGGGGATGTGTTAGTGGTTTCATGGGCCAGGTTCACTCTGCCTCTGCCCTGAAGGCCACAGTTCAAGCCCAAGAATACTGAGTTCAAATCCTGCCTTCCCCACTTGTCAGAGCTGTGACCTTGAACAAGCTAAACTGTCCATAAAATGGGGTTGTTGATTCCCTCCAAGGGCTGTGTGAGGGTAGCTGGGGACAGGGTACATCCAGAACCCAGCTACAACAAATGCTCAGCAGACATTAGCTATTCATCTCTCTCTTTCTCTCTCTCTTTTTTTTTTTTTTCTACTGGCAGGTACTGTTCTCAATGCTTTTGTCCATGTTACTTCAATCCTTACAATGTTACACAGTAGACACAATTCTACCTTTTATTGCTAAGACCTTGACACAGAGATTAGGCCATCTTCTCAAAGCCACAGCTAGTACGGGGCAGAGCTGGGATCTGAACGAGACAATCTTGGGACTCCCTGATCTCAGCATTGCTGGAACTCTGTGTCTTGGAGAGCAGAGAGTTTGTGTGGGGGCAGAGAGGGGTGTCTCAGGGGAATGGATACGCCTCCCACAACCAGTCCCCCTGGGGTGGGAGTCCCAGGCAATGCCACCTGCTCTGTGACTCCTGATTCCGGGGGAGCCCCTATGCTTGGCTCACTGGGGAGTGTGGAGGCCAGGGCTCCCGGGCCTGGATGAGATGTGGGTGAGGAGGCGACCACATGATGCCCCATGGGAAGAAAGGAAGGGGCTCAGTGGCTGCCCTATGCATGAGGAGGAAGCACCCCAAGAAGGGACATAGTTTGCCCATGGTGACCTTCCTTCATAATCTCTTGACAAGGCCTGACCTCTCAGAGGCTGGGGGCTGGGCAGACTTGAGACTCAGGCTGCCTTGTCTGTCCCTAATTGGCTGGCTGTGCAACTCTGGACCAGTCACTTAACATCTCTGAGTCTGGGAGTTTGTGCAGATTAAATCAGCTGACATGTGTAGAACTTAGCTCAGTCCCAAGACACAGGAAGTCCCAGAAAATGGGAAATTTGGCAATGACAATGAATGCCACCACACCCCTGCTCTCCACACCACCCTGCCTGGCTGTGACTGTGCCCCGGATGCACCGGTTACCCCGAGGACCCAGCCTTCACCCTCCATGCCCTCTGAGGGGTCCAGCACCCACCATGCTCCAGCTCAGCCACGCGGTCCAGCAGGGTCTCCAGCTCCTTCTCTACCTCTTGACGCTGCCGGTGGCTGCTGTGGCTGAGGGCCGTGCGCTCCTTTTCCAGTGCCAGTACCTTGGTCAGCAACTGTTCCTCCACTTGGTCCATCTTGGCATGCAGCGCCGTGGGTGTGGCCGGGGCAGGAGCAGCAGAAAGGTTTGCCCGGGCTGGGAGCTCCTGCTGCTTGCAGATGAAAAGAGAAGTTGGGGGGAGGGCCGCTGGTATTAGAAAAAATTGGGAGGGTGAGGGCACAGGGCGCTGAGCCACCTGCTATCCGGGTGAAGAGTGGAAGTAACAGACCCTGCGTCACGCGAGAAGCTTGACTGCAGGAGCTGACAGGAGCTTGCTACTGCCACAGCCTTCCCCTGGCCAGGGACTGCCTGGGGAGCCCGGGGCTGGGCCAGCCATGGCCAGGCAGGGCCTCTTGGACTTCATTTCCCAGGGATGCCAAATGGAGACAGTCACAGTAACTGTGGTGTGCCATTATGGTCCAGGGCAGAGCATGCCTGTGTGGGCACTGACATCCTCCCTGCAGCCCAGCATGGATGAAGGTGAAGGCTCAGAGGCTCTCCCTGTCTGGTCCCAAGACCCCCACCCCCGACAAGGCAGGAGCTGTGTGTGTATGTGGGGGGGATGCCCTCCAGCCCTCTCCCTGCTGTAGGAAACCTCCGCTAGGAAGCACAGTCTGTGGCAGAAACGTCACAGACGGATCAGGCGGGGATGAATAATTTAATGAGTAGCTAAGAGTCAAATCTGAGCCATCTCCCTGGCTTCCTTCCTCCCTCAGCTGTCCCCAGGAACACGGCTGATGCCTCCCCACTCCCCAGGGGCCTGGGTAGTTCCCGCTCAGCCTAGCCCTGGGCCGGGTGCTTCCACGAGGTCCCAGACAGGAGTTCATGGAATTTTCAGGGTTCTGGGAGTGCTTACTTCGTGCCAGGCGCTGTCCCAGGTGCTGAAGGCAAAACAGGAAGCCAAGGACACATTTCCTGAACATCCCATATGACAAGGGGCTGGTTCTGCCAGTACGGGGGACTCTCCTCCCAGCCTCAGAGGTCTCTGGTTGGGTGACACTGGGCACATCTCTTAACGTTTCTCAGCCTTTTCTAGTCTGGTAACCCTAACCCTGGCACCAAAGGACAGGGACCAGAACATGCTGGAGACAAAGGACCTGCCATGGAGGACAATGATGGGCTTTGCCGTTAGCAGTTGGGGGATGGGCACTGGGCAGTTGAGGTTGCCATGTGGCATCACGGTTCTTGTTGTATAAGCTGGGCACTTACAACACCTGGAGGACAGGGTGTGGTCAAGACTATAAGATGGAGTAGAGGTGAGGATTTGGATCAACAACTGCTTCAGGGGGGCAGCCAGGGCATGGCAGGAAGACCCTGGAGGTCGTGGACTGCTCCTGGCTGCAGTTAGGGCTCCAGCAGGCATCACATAAGCACGCCCTTGGCACTTATGCTTAATGCATCCTATGCCATGGGTGCCACCAGCATCCTATTCTTTGGGCAGGGAACCTGGGAGTAGTCATCCAGGCTGCAGTAAGAGTTGGTAGCAGGACCAGGGGTGGGCCAAGGTGCTGGTTGCTTGCTTGCTTGGCGCCTCTCACCATCTGCCCGGCCATCCCTCTGGGGATCCCGTCTGTCCCCAAACTCTAATGAGTGTCTCCCCTGGGGAAGGTGAGGTAGTCACAGAGGGGGTCTGGAACCAGTTGACACTCAACCCCTACCACCTGCTGGAGGTGGGCAGGGGCCAAGGAATGAACCTCCTCCCAACTCCTGTAGGTGCCTAAAAATCCTAGCTTTGGGTATGGACCTAGCCCAAAGCCTTAATTTTCCTTCCTGTAAAATGGAGACAAGAGGTTTCACTGTGCCCATCCCCAGAATAGACAGAGGGGAAGGGTGGAAGTAACAGACCCTGTGTCACGCAAGAAGCTTGACTGCAGGAGCTGACGGGAGCTTGCTACTGCCACAGCCTTCCCCTGGCCAGGGACTCTCTGGGGAGCCCAGGGCTGGGCCAGCCATGGCCAGGCAGGGCCTCTTGGACCTCAGTACTATTCTGCCCTTGCTAGGCTTGGCTCTCTGCAGTGCCACGGTGGGGAATCTGAAGCAGGAGCCCTGCCAAACTGTCCACAGTCACGGGCCTGGGCAAAGCAAGCATGCCTGAACTGCTGCCCCACCCTCTCTGGCAAGCATCCACCCTTGCCCCTGGGGGAGGGCACCCTGCACAGATGCTGTTTCCACAAGGATGAGGGTAGCGATGGAAGATCCCAAAGCGATGTTTCTAATGGCAAATCTCCCCTGCCTCCTCCCCGGCCTCATGTGGTCTTGTCCTGGTCCCGGGCTGCCCATGCTCTGCACTGTGACCACCCAGCAACCAGGGGCCACCACAGACACTGCAAATCCTATACACAAGTCTCTCCAGGGGCCCCACTCTGCCAACACTGTCTCTGCCCTGCTCACCCCCAGTAGGCTCCTGGTCACCCCTATCCAAATCCCTCTCAACCCAAGGGCTCACACATGCTGTTCCTGCTGATGAGAATGCACTTCCTGCCTCCCCTCCCCTCAACCACCACCTCTGTCTCTGTGTGTTTCCGCTCAAGATGGCAGCTTCCCTGAGGCCTGAGCTGAAGGCAGGGGACTCAGTCACTCACCATGAGCCCTGACAACACAGTTGTCACCCATGTGAGACAGGTGCGTGTCACTTCTGGGCTCCTCACCTGGAACTCTGACCCTCAGCTTTCTTATCTGTAAAATGGGCACCACGACCATGCCTGAACTGAGGGATTGTCAACACAGAGTCCTCATCTATGTGTAGGGCAAGGACAGCCCTGGGTGCTGGCAGGCCTAGCAGCATGGGCAGAGGTGACCCAGCTGGGCAGGGCAAGGCAGGCTGTGCCTGGACAAGAGTGAGGACAGGTGACTCGACAGGAGCACCTCTGTCACCCTCAGCCTGTGTTTCCTAAAGGGAGGTCTTTATCAAGGCCCAGAACCCTCACCAGGGTGTGGGGACCCAGCCCAGCCTGGTTAATGGTCCTAGCTCAGCCCCAGCTGCACAATGCGGCCCTGGGTGGGTTCCTGGACTCACTGAGAAGGTTATGGGAGTGCCCAAGGGCTGCAGGAATTGGCAGCCTCGGCCTCTGATCCCAGACTTCTGAGGGAGCAAAAATGAGGCTGAGACTGTCCTGGAGAGACATGCCACATCCCTCCCTGGGCAGGCAGCCCTGAGCCCTGGCTTTATCCTTCCTTCCAAGGAGGGCAAAAGTGCTCCAGGCCGTGATTCACAAGGGCAACGTAAAAGTGAGCCACAGCGAGCCTGCTGCACACCCCCAGAGCAAAGAAAATGCTAAAAATACCCACGGCAAGCTTGGCCAGGTCTGGACGAGTGTGTGTGTGTGTGTGTGAGAGAGAGAGGCGCTCTGGCAGCCACTCTGGGATGGTGTTTTGGCATGGCGTCTCAATGCCATCCCCATGCCAGGCACCCACGCCCCAGGATGGTTCCAGGGGAGATGAGGGTAGGTGATTGCAGGAGATGTCATGAGAGTGTTCACGGCAGCTTTCCCTGCAATATCATAAACTGCCCTGAGGCCATCCGTGGAGGGTGGCTGAAGCCTAAGGGACATCCGTTGCCACACACCAGCAACAGATAAGCCACAAACATGGGCTACTCTCAGATGCCATGGACTCAGTGGCAAGAGAGAAGGTGCCAGATGCAAGGGAAAGCCCCACTGGGCACTGAGGCCAGGTGCAGCACGTGGTCGCTCCCTTTGGGACAGAGCTGACCTGGGTGGGGGATGGGAAACCTTCGGGATGTTGGGGACTATCATCCTGCAGAGCAGGGAGGGGAAGGAATTTGGTGTAGTCTGAGAGGGAAAGTTTCTTTCTAGGACAAAGCCATCACCACTGGCAGGGGAGCGGTCTCCTAGTGGGGTTGCCCCACCTAGGGCTGGGTCAAGGGCAAGGACATGCAGGTGGCCAGAGCCCAACTTGGTTCCTAGTCCCCAGTGCCAGCAACCACTCAGTGACCACTGATAATCATGACATCCACCATGGAGACGGTGCCTAGTCATGCCCATTTCCCAGACAGGAAGCTGAGGCTGAGATGGTAAAGTTGCTGGTCCAGGGGCCCCAGGATAGCCACCTGACAGAAGAAGGATTGAGACCCAGCTGCCAGGTATGCACTGGGAGCAGCATGCCACGCTGCAGCCCCGGAGCCAGGCAAAGTCTGACAGAGCCACGGAAGGGCAGCAGCTTCAGCAGGAACAACCCCTCCCCGTAATTCGGCTGGCTTTGCTGCTCCCTCTTCCTGCCCCCCTGCACTGCCCGTGAAGCAGAAGTTTTCAGAGTGGGTAGCAATGTGACAGAAGGGCATGGGCAACCAATGGGCTTTGGGAAAGGTGCCAAGAAATGCTGCAAGCCTTGGATCAAACCTAACCTAACCCTTGCTCCCACCCATTTTACAGGCAAGGAAACTGAGGCTAGGAGAGGGAGGACGAACTCAACTCTACACTGCCCCACTGTCTTTCTCCAGAGAGACTGAGAGCTGGAGGGAGGGTGGGCGGTGGGGAGTGTCTGGTGAGCTGTGCCATTCCATGGGGTGTGGGCGTGTGGAGCACAGAAAGAGGGCATAACAGGAGGGGGACATTGGTCTGCTTGCTTCTGTGTCCCCCGTATTCTCTGAGCTTCACTCCTCATCTGGTGAATGAGGCTGCAGACCGAGCTGCAGTGTACGCTCTAAGAGTCTAATGAGTGTTAGCCATTAGCAGCAGCAGTGGAGGCGGCTCGGACATGAGCGTCCTGGCTCCCTGGCCCGTCAGCAGGCCGTGCCCTTGAGGGGGGCCCTCTGCTCAGCATCTCCCCACTGTCTTTCTTGCCCTGCCGAAGGTCTAGAGTTAAGCATGAAGAACAAGAACTCTGGGGCCAGACACTGACCCAGTCCCAGCCATGCTCCATCACTGTGGGACCCCAGGCCAGTTCCTGAACTTCCCTGCCTTGTGGGTCCTTGGCAAAAGGTGGGTAGAAAAGCCCTCCTGCCTGGAGGTGTGATAAGGATGGCTTCAGAGATAGTGCCTGAGGCATGGGAGAGGCTCAGCGACAGCAGCCATCCCTCCTTCCCTGAATCGGGGTCTCCTGGTCCTGGGCGGAGGGGTGTGGCCGGTGGTGGAGCTGGGTTAAGGATGTGGTCCGTGTTTAAATGAATCTTGGAGTTGCACTGTGGACATGAATGGGTGTGCCTCCGGGTTCCCCAGGGCCTCGCAAAGGGTCCTGTCCTCTTGGAAAGTGGTTCTTGGCCACAGCCACACAAAGTCAATATCCTGAGGCCCAGGAATGCCCCTCTGGGGACGCAGCCTGCAGAAATAACTCCACAGCTTCAAAATGCAAACAGTAATGGGCTGTCCACTTGGACTGCATCCTGCAAGGAGCATCTAGAAGCAGGACCAAGGGAGCAGCCCAGGGTCCCAGCTCCAGGAGCAGCAGGGCCACTGACGGGAATGGTGGACCTACTGGGACCAGCAGTGTGAGCCCACCAGTATTGGGCTCCAGACCTCAGACCTACCCAAGGGGTCCCAGACGTAGCAGGCAGACCTGGCAGCTGAGTGGTCCCCTCTCCCCTCCCTGCATGCCCACCACCCGCAGGAAAGAGGAGGAGGCACACGGGGGAAGCCTGGACGCCCTAGCCTGGGAATGTCCAGTACCAGCTGCCAGAACGCCCTGACCTCAGCGGGCTCCCTGGAGTAGGGGTGGGGGGCATCTTGCCAAGGGCCACAGTGCTAATGGAGCCAGTGCAGGGCAAGCCCAGTCCTGTCAGCCTCAGCCATGGAAAAAGCCACCTGTGCCATTTGGGCATGAGGGCGGAGGCTCAGGCAGGCAAGAGGAATGTGACTGAAAATCAGGTCTTGCTTTTACGTGTTCATTAAGCAAGGTGGCTGAGAGAGGGGCTCCTTCCCCCTTGGGTTGTCGTCTGTGTTCTAAATATTAGTGATGTTGTAGCTGAAACTGGCTGAGCTCACACTGCTGCCAGACACTGTCCCGGCCCTCCCTGTCGACAGCCATGCTGCCCTCACCTAGGGAGATACGTACTGTGGTTACCTTGGCTTTGCAGACGGAAGAACTGAGATTCCCCCTTCCCTCCAGATCTTGCATTTTGCCCCGATTTTACTTCTTCTGGCCCTCTCACCTAGAACCCTCCACTTCCCAGAGCTGGAGCAGGGTAGAGGGGGGCTGGCCTGGCTTGCCCCCTGCCTGCCTCAGCCACTCACCTTAGAGGTTTTTTTCCCCCCTCACCTGTGAGAGGGGTAGTGGGGTAGCACTAGCACAGACCTTCCCGAGCACATGTGTGCTGCAGGTAGCTTCTGCACCTCCTGGCCCTCCTCCCCACACATCCCACTGATCTGGAGACCAATCTACAGAAAAACCGAGTGCCCAGCGTCTCCGGGGGTTTGTCCCATCCGCCTGCTCATGTGTCTTAAGGTTTGTCTTGTACTTTTGGGAACCCCAGATTCCTTCGTCCTGGGAAGAAGGTGACTGTGGGACCCGACAGGGCCAGTGACTGGCGCAGGGGTCCCTGCACGGGTCCTGCAGACCCTTTGCACCTGACCCCAAAGCCGCAGTCAGGAGGGTCTGGGAAAGGGGGTGCGTGAGAAGGAGCAGGATGAGCCCCCTCCCAGGGCAGGGAGTCAGCATCTGAACCTCTCACAATGTGAGGGGTGTTCCACGGGGCACCAGGTGCCCTGCCCTTCAGCCCTGAGACGGTGCGACTGTGTCTCCTAAGCATGCAGCTAACCTGGGGTTGGGCGCCGCGTGGGGGGCGCGCCCAGAACAAGGTGTTGAAGAGATTATCACAGGGGGACCCCGTTGGGCCCATTTTATAGACGCGGCTGCTGAGGCTCGGGTGGAGGGGCGGGAAGCAAACCGGATCTGGAGCAAGACTTTTCTGGCGCGCCCCGCTCACTGTCTGTGCGGGACACCTGCTCGCGTTCCCTAGGCGAGCGCGGAACCGCGAGCGTCCCAGTTACACACACGGGGGACGGCAGGGTCGCAGGGGAGAAGGGGCCCGCGGGTGGCGACGGCGGCTGCCCGGACGGCGCGCGCGGCGCTCACCTCGATGCGGTCGATGCGGTCGCGGAGGGCACGCACGGCATTCTCCAGCTCCAGCAGCAGCGCGGGCGAGTCCCAGGGCCCGTCGGCCATGGTGTCGCGGCGGGGCCCGGCGTCCTGCAGGCCGCGCGGCAAGCCGCTCTCGCAGCGGCCCAGCTTGCCGGTGAGCTCGCGGATGGTGTCCTGGTCGGCGCGGATGCGCGCCTCCTGCTGCAGCGCCGTCTGGCGCAGCTGCTCAGCCGTGCTCTGCAGCAGCAGCAGCTCCTCTCGTTCGCCCGCCGCCGCGTCTCCCTGCTCGGTCCCCGACGGGCAGGCGGCCGCCAGCGGGGTGCACAGGAAGCGGCTGAAGAGCGGCCCGGGCGGCAGCGGGTGCGCGCTGGCTGCGGGCGCTCCGGGCAGCGCCGGGGGCCCGGCCGAGCCGCCGGCGCCGTGCAGCGCGCTTAGGCTGCGCTGCGGACCCGGGGACGCGGCGGCGCCCGCTGCTGCGGCCGAGGCGTTGTCGGCGCCACCGGGCAGCGCCCGCGCGGGGCTGGCCGCCAGGGGCACGCTGGCGATGATGCAGATGACGGCACCGAGGAACGCCAGCATGCCCGCGGCCAGCAGCACGGCCAGGAACTTCAGCGTGAAGCGGGCGGCGGGGGCGCACGAGGCCCCCCGGCAGGCGCGGCGGCTAGGGTCGGGGCGCGGGGCCCGGGACGCGGGAGCCGGAGCTGGAACTGGAGCTGTGGCCGCGGCCGCTGCTGCCGCCGCTCTGAGCCCGGGCAGGAGGCGGCGGCGGCAGGGAGGCTGGGAGGCGGGGAGGGGGAGCAGAGCAGCGGCCCCGCCCCACTCGCTCCCCCGGGCCTGGCCCTGGCCCAGCTTCGCACCCGTTCCGTGCCGAGCGCCCAGGTCGGGGCGCCGCCGGGCACTCGGCGAGGAGGGGCGGGAGCTAGCGCCTAGGACTCGAGCTCACCCAAGGCGCCAAGGGGCTTGCAAGCGAGCCCACCCCAGGCGTGTACTCCGACGCGTTCCTGGTGAGCCCCGCGGCCGCAGCGACCCTTGCAGGGGCACACCTCCCCTCCCGCCTCACCCCCATCTCGCGTTCAGGGCTCTGCGTCGCCGAGCCTGTTACAAGCTCAGTGGTTGTTCAGTCTTCCGATGGACAATGCCCACTATGCAGATGGGGAAACTGAGGTCCAAGGTCACACTGGCAGTATGCATTGGTGCAGCTTTTGAACTTGGGCACGTCTGGCTGGCCCCTGGCTACCTCGATGCAGATGGAGCCAGTAGCAGCAGGACAGGGAGACTTCACCTAGGCTGTGTCCACCTGCCTGTCACCCATCATACATAAATCTGTTCTGTAGGAACACAGGTCACTCCTCCCCCCACCCCCCAAAAAAAGAAGAGGATCTCAGAGAGTGGCAGAAAATCCTTCTGCTGAGTCTGTGGGGAGGGGCGCTGAGGCACCTGTCCTCCTCCCCTCATCCCAGCCCCAGTTGGAATGCAGAGCAAAAAGGAGACTGGTGGACCTGTGGACAGACCCAGCACAGATGGAGCTTGCAGGAGTGGCAGTGGGCTGGGGCGTGGAGGTGGGAGTGGGGGAGCATCTGACACCTGTCAGGAGTGTCTATATATATTTGGTTAAAAATTAACTTTACAATTAAAAACCTTCTTAAAAAAAAAAAATAACCAGCCTCCTACCACCCTTTGCAAACCAGTTCCAGCTTTAACTTTTATATGCTGCTGCTCCTGGCCAGTGTGGCTTCCCAAGGCTGTGAGTGTTCTAACTACAGCTTGCCATGGCAGCTCACGAGAATGCCCTGGCCCCAAGAAGGGTCACCAGCAGCGGCTTCCAGGGGTCTAGGAGCCAATCGGGGCTTAAGCCGTTTGCTCTGCCCCCCATCTCCCGGTACACTTAACTGGAATGGAAAGCTGGGAGCCATATCCCTGGACCACCACAGCTACCTGCAGTGGCCTTCACATAGGCTGGGGGACAGAGGGAGGGGACCATATTCCAGTGCCCTTTGGACACCCACCACTTCTCCTGGCAAGAATCCCTCTGTGTGCCAGGAGACCCGAGAGCTGTATGTTTGTGGATGTGAGTGAGTGGCCAGCAGCAGCCTAAAGACCCAACCCAGGCCTCCCTGGTCCAGGAGAGGTGAGCAGCAGCAGAGTCCCACTGCCTTCCGGGCGCAAGAGCAAGAAACAGGATTGGAAGCGGAGCAGCCAGGACTCGAACTGACACTCTGACATGGGCTGCTGGCCTGACAGGCTGCTGTGATACAACACCAGCCCCCTAGAATGTTTTTCCAACCCATGTTGCAAACATGTTACTGTGCTGCTTGCAAACCTGTGGGTGGTTCCAGCACACTCTGGAATGAAGTTTAAACTCCTCCAGAGGCACGGTCAAGGGTGTGAATTCTGGAGCCAGAGAGGTTCGTTTAAACCCTGTCTCTGGGCCCTGCACGATGGCTCAGCGGCTAAGTCCCTACCCTGAGCTCACCGAGGTCCTATATGGGCCCTGGTTTATATCCGGGCTGTACCACCTCCCTTCCAGCTCCCTGCTTGTGGCCTGGGAAAGCAGTTGAGGACGGTCCATAAGCCTTGGGACCCTGCACGCACGTGGGAGAACCAGAAGAAGCTCCTGGCCCCTGGCTCTGGATCAACTCGGCTCCAGCTGTTATGAACACTATGGGGGTGAACCAAAGGATAGAAGATCTTTCTCTGTTTTTTTCTCTCTGTAAATCTGCCTTTCCAATAAAAGTAAATTAAATTTTTTTAAACTAACCTGTTACCAGCTATGACCTTGGATGTTGGGGGGCAATTAGTAAGTCTCTTGCATTTTTGCAAATCTTGCTGCTGCGGCAGCTTTTATCCAGGACCATCTCCCAGTGGACCGGAGGGCAGATCTGGCTGGAATAATGAAGTTCAAGTTTTGGTACTGGTGCTGTGGCACAACAAGTGAAGCTGCTCCCTGTGGTACCAGCATCCCATAGGAGCACCAGTTCCCTGCTGATGTGCCTGGGAAAGCAGCGGAGGATGACTCAAATCTTTGAGATCCTGCACCCATGGGTGAGGGAGACCCAGAAACTGCTAGCTTCTGGCTTCAGACCAACCAAGTTCTGGTGTTGTGCCATTTTGGGAATGAGCTAGCAGATGAAAGATTTGCTCTCTGTCAATCCCTCCACCCCAGCATTCTGCATGAAACCCACTCTTCAGAGCAGCTTGATGTTGAGTGTGGCTGCTGCTTCTGCTAGGGCAGAGGGACAGGCAAGACCAGAGAAGCCCCCACACTCCTGGGCTTTGGGAGAGATCGTCAAACCACAATACGGAATTCCTCAAGGGATGGTCAGAAAAGTGATGTCAGAGGAACCTTCACAGGCTGAAACAGCTCCTCCTGGGATGACCGAGACTTTGCTAACTGAGGTCCCAGGCTATTTGAGAGACAGCATTGCAGAGACAGAGAGAGAAAAACCTTTCACCCGCTGGATCACTCCCCAGATAGATGCAACTCCAAGGGTTGGGCCAGGCCAAAGCCCGGGTCAGAACACGGGAACTTTGCTTTCTCCGCTCCCTCGCTGCTGGCTGCTGACCAGGAGCATCTGCAGGGCTGAGAGCAGGTGCACAGCGTCTCTGTATCTGCATCTCAGGGGTCTGTACTCAAGTTCCTGATGAGAGAAGACCCAGCCATCCCCTGCTGGGAGCGTGCTTCAGAGCTAAGGGGATTCCCTCCCTAGGGATAAGAAAGCGGAGCCGCCCAAGCTGCCCAAACCTATCCGGGACACCCTCATCTCCAGACTAGGGGCCTTCTGGGAGTGCAGGACAGACGCAGGGCTCAGCTAGGGCCATGAGTGTTGGCCAGGGTGGGGCAGGAGCCAGGCGAGGGAGCTGCCTGCCTCCTCATTGGGGAAGCCCAGAGATTTCCATTCCGAGTCTCAGCCCGGCTGGGTGCAGCAAAGGCAGCCAGCCTGGCACACAGGTGGGCAGGAAGCAGGGACATCTGTTCCCACACGAGCACCGAGGAGGAAGCACGCGTCCTCCCTGTGGGTGCCAGGACTTGGCTGGCCAGTGTGTGCCAGAGTCCAGGCCCAGGAGGGAGGCTGCCTCCGCTCCCTGCAGCCGTGCCAGGAGGGGTGGAGGCACCCGCAGCACCTCCTGGGGCACCGCGGCCCACCCCTATCCACCAGGGCCCGTCTGTCTGTTTCTCTCCTTGCTGCTTATGCTATCAAGCTGCACCTGTTCAGCCCTGCATGCGGTATGCTAGTGGTCTGCATGCCAGGGGAGAAACCAAGAGGTGCAGCAGAGGTCTTGGGCTCCGCCAGCAGGCAGTTGGCCCTCAGAACCACACCTCACAGTTTCCCTCCCTCCAGAGAGGCCCTTGGACCCCACCTCACCCCCCTGGGACCTCTCTGGGACCCACTGCTGCTGGAACACTTCCCTGCAGGGGTCCTGGCTCCAGTTTCGGTCACAGATTTTTTTTTTCAAAGATTTATTTTATTTTTATTAGAAAGTCAGATTGACAGAAAGAAAAAAGAGAAACAGAGAGGAAGATCTTAAGCTCTTCTGTCTGATGATTCACTCCCCAAGTGGCTGCAATGGTCAGAGCTGAGCTGATCCAAAGCTAGGAGCCACTAGGCTACTGCGCCAGGCCCTGGTCACAGAGATCTTAATCCTGTGCTTCCTCTATGAGATGATGGACTTTTTGAGGTCTGGCACCTGGTGGTCTCCCTTTGCAGGTCTCGGGCACCCGCTGGTGCTTGCTTTATAATGCGGTGAAACCTAAGGACCCGGTAACTGTGTCTCCATCCCCACCCCCTCCTGCAAGCACCCCCAAAGGCACTTTTCTGATGACTCCTGGAGACCCACAGGGGCTCCTCAAGAGCTGGAAAGTTGAGGGTTTTTTTTTTTTTTTTAAATATTCTTACTAAGTTGGTTAGGGTACAAAAGTTAAGGGCTACAGGAAAGTGGGTAAGACCATTGTCCCCACACTAATACCATCACTTTATTTCCCTGTATCTGGGCTCAATGGAGAAACAAAGGGAGAGGCCCCATCCAGCCTCCCACCCATCCCAGGGCCCCGATGTGGGGCACACTCCGAGGGTCCTGCTCAAGTAGTTTTGATAGTTCAACAGTGCTGAATTGCTGCCAATCTCACCGTTCCAAGCACGGTGAAATCTATTCCAAATCCACCGGCTGACATAGTTTCTTCATGGTTGGGGTTCTGAGATCAGCAGTTCAGTTGGAGGGATCTCCAAAGAGACTTTGTCTGACGTGATCCCAGACCGGATTCTTGTGTGTGCTTGCCAGTACAGGGTCTGGCACAGTCTGTCACCCCAATCAGCTTATGCATATATTGGTAGTTGCAATTGCTAGGTCAGTTCTGTTTCCAGCCCTGTCTTCCACACAAACTGATGGTTGTTGCAGTCCAGCCTGATCCTGCCCACTTCACACTCGGCCCTCACGCAAACCACTGGGAGCTACAGCCTAGTTGGGGCGATTCCCCATAACCCATACCAGGCCTGCCCTCTACCCTGGTTCCCATGCTTACCACTATGTACCGCAGACTTGTCTAGTCTGTCCCACATCCCATTCAGCTCTCATACATGTCAATGGGCATTGAAGCGTAAACCCTGCTATGCAGCCCACACACATACTGGCAGGTGCCTTTCTGCTTAGCCAACCCTAAGGACCCAGTGACTGTGTCTCCAACCCCACCCCCTCCTGCAAGCTCCCCCAAAGGCACTTTTCTGGTGACTCCTGGAGTCCCACAGGGGCTCCTCAACAGTTGGAAAGTTTTGTGGTTTTTGTTTGTTTGTTTTATGATTTATTTATTTTCATTGGAAAGGCAGATTTACAGAAAGGAGAGACAGAGAGAAAGAGCCTCCATCTACTGGCTCATTCCCCAAACAGCCACAACGGCTGGAGCTGAGCCCATCCAAGGTCAGGAGTCAGGCGTTTCTTTTGGGTCTCCCATGTGGGTACAGGGGCCGAAGGCTTTGAGCTATGCTCTGCTGCTTTCCCAAGCTCCAAGTAGGGAGCTGGAAGGGAACTGGAGCAGCTGGCATAACAAATCGGCACCCATATGGCATGCTGGTG